GTTATTACCCCTCTTATGGCTAACTCATAATTTATTTTTAATTTATTTTTATTGTATTATTGTTGTACTGGGAGCACATTGTGACATTTATAGAAGTTCTTACAATATACCATGGTTGAATTCACCCCCTCCATCATTCTCCTTTATAACCATTCCTCCCCCATTCCTGGAATAGTTTGAACAGGTCTCATTTTTCAAATTTTTGTTGTCGAATTAGTTAAAGTGTAATTAATTTACAGGAAGCTTTCTCTCTTCCCTATCTTCTAACATGCCATCCTTCCCAAATTTAGGAATCTTCTCTCTCTTTTTTTTTTTGGTACAACTGTGGTTTGAACTCAGGGCTTCATGCTTACAAAGCAGGCACTCTACCACTTGAACCACACCTCCAGTCCATTTTGCTGTGGTTATTTTGGAGATGGGTGTCTTGTGGACTGTGTGCTTGGGCTAGCCTCCAACCTTGATCCTTTCAATCTGTCTTAGCCTCCTGAGTAGCTAGGAGTGTAGGCATGAGCCATCAGCATCGGGTTCAAACCTAGAAATCTAAGAATAGCATTTTCCATCAGTTTGCATTCTTTGTTCCTTTTCTCTTCTGTTTTTACCTTTCATTTTAGCCTCTCTACATTACTGTAATCATGTTTACTTATCCATCTCTTCCATTAGACTGTGAATTTCTGGAGATGGGGTCCTTTAATCTTCAAATCCTCATTTCCTTGTATAACATTGGGCCCATGGTGGGCACAAAAGACCTTCTGTTAATAGTTATTTAACAAAAAATGGACTGGAGGCATGGCTCAAGTCATAGAGCACTTACCTAGCAAGGGCAAGACTCTGAGTTCAAACCCCATTTTTCCAAAAAAAGTCATTAACATTTATTGAATTTTTTAGTTTATAGTGTGGGCTAAACAATGAACCAAAGTTAATGGGTACACAGAGGTTTATAAGTTCTATATCCACTCTTGAGCAGTTTTTGATCTAGTGGAGCCAGGACATGTGTAAGTGAGGGTAGATACTAATACCAGGTAGCACATACTAATGGAGATGAGTAATAAAGCAGTAATTTTTTGTGTTACGTCTGAACTTAATAAACTTCTTCAAATTATGTGCAAAAATGTGTATGTCATGTCCATTTTTCTGGGGAGACTATAGTTTTGGTTTTCTAGAGTTCTAACCTGAACATGGTTAAGGATCATCGAAGTAGGTAATAAGTAGTGTAGACATTCTGAGAGTAGAGAAAGAGATGTTCCAAACTGGTATCATCTCTTCTTCTCTAGTCACCCATACAGCTGAGACTGTGTTGTAAGCAAAGATAGCCAGCTACCTTTAAAATGTGTGTTAGCTATTATGAATCTTATGAATCACTTTAAATCCTAAAGCAAAACAAATTATATATTAATATTAGGGTTTGCTACTATTGACAAACATATTGTGATCTATTTTTATTAATATATTCATAAAGTTTCAAATTTACTTTTAGAATGTATTCCCGACAATAGTAATATTCCTGACAAGAGTCCTATAATTTATGGCTTGTTGAGTCACTAGAATGTTGTTTTTTACAAGAAGCATTAAAAATAAATGTAAAAATTATTTATGGTTCATCATTCAGCACCATTGGAAGGCCAGTTCTGACTAATTTCCTGTTAAAGTTAAAATGCAATGAGGGATTGAGCTGGATTTGAATTCTTCATTGTTCCTGTATCCAGCAATTATTCCTCAGTTATCCATCCCTACGCTTCAGTTTTCACATCAGTAAAATGATGGGGGGGTGAAAAATGATAAATGGTCTTTCAGGTTCCTTGCAATTCTAACTGTATCTAACTATCAGCTGTGATTCTCTGATCCCAAAGTCGACCTCACTGAGGCATAAAAGGTTTGATCTAGAAACTTTAAAAGGGGAAAATTGGACCCATAATGATGTTTATCAAATATATGAATAGTCTATGGTATTGATACCACTGCTGTATTCTAGGGCAGCTTTTATTGGAACATTTTTATCTTATTCATCTTTCTTTTTTCAATCTCCACTTCTGTACACGCAAAGGATTGCATAATTCTGCTGTTGTCTCTTGTAATGAAATAGTTTTGGCTCTACTTTATTTAGACAACTTACTATGAATTCATATAGTAAACTATCACAAATTTTCTTTAGGAAGCAAAGTGAATTCAGTTGTATCTTAAAACAAGGCTTCTTTCTAAAAATATAATTAATTCAAACCCTAATAACTCTTATTTACTTAAAATTTAAAATAATACTCTTAAGACAGTTTTTTCTTTAAACTTAAATGTAGATACAGTTTTTTAAACTTCATATATATATTTTAATAAAACATTTATCTTTTAGATACTTACAGAAAAAAATGTGAAGAGAATTTGCATATTAATCATTGAGTGATGGCTAGACAGCAGGATTTTCTGATGGATTGATAAATTTTCCTATGTCTCATATGCTTGAAGATGTATATTCTTAAATTATTGGAGCAGGACTAGCTATGCCTAAACTTTTTATCAGGGTTTTACATAACTTCTATGTCATTAGTTTTGGCAATTAACTGAGTTTTGTTAATACTTCCCAAGATTTATCAGGCTCTCTGGCACTTTACTATATATATATAAAAAGACACTTGGAAGCTATGTTAGAAGTACGTGAAATTTATAATTGTTAGATCATCTTGTGAATTTTTATCATTTTATTGTGACCCCTCTTTTTAAATGTTTCTAATATTGTATTTTTATTTAGTTTGTTTTGATTGGTACAAATAAAGCTATAGATAGTATTTATCTATTCTTTTGTCTTTTCTTTTGTATGTCTTTATATTTTAAAGTCTTGTTTAAAGCACATAGCTACAATTTGTTTCATTATTTTCTTTTTTGTTTTAATGAGACTTTTGTTACTAGTATATATTAATTGTACAGAGGCGTTTCATTGTGATATTTCCATACATTCATATAATGGACTTCAATCAAATTCACCTCTGCCCTTACTATTTCTTATCCCTCCTACCCACCCCCATTTTTTTCTAGTCTAAAAAGTGTTTCATTATTCTGTTTTCATATATGTGTATAAAATACTTCAATCATGTCCATACCCCATCACTCTCTCATTTCCTTCTCCCCCAAAAGTCCCCCTGTTACTTTCATGACATTTTTTGATTGAGATACCACATATGAGAGATAATGTGTGATATTTGTCTTTCTAATTCTGGTTTGTTTTGCTTAACATGATCACCAGTTCCATCCATTTTCCTGCAGATAGCATCACTAAATAATACTCCATTATATATACATGTACATGTATATATAATGTGTGTATATATATGTACGTATCCAAATTTTCTTTATCCATTTATCTGTCAATGGGCACCTAGGCTGATTCCATAGTTTGGCTATTGTGAATAGTACTGCAGTAAATATGGTTCTGCAAGTATTTCTGTAATATGCTGATTTACATTCCTTTGGATATATGCCCAGGAGTGTTGTAGCAGGAGTATATATAGTAGTTCTGGCTTGAATTTTTTAAGGAAGCTCTTTAGTGATTTCCACAGTGGCTACACTAATTTACATTCCCACCAACAGTGTATAAGGGTCTCTTTTTCTGCATATCCTTGCCAGTTTTTGTTGTTTTTTGCTTGCTTGATGATAGCCATTCTGACTGGGATTAGATAGAATGTGTGTTGTTTCGATTTGTATTTCCTCTTTTTCTTCTTTTATTAATTTTTTATTCTTTTGCTAGGGGTACATTGTGGCACTTACAAAAGTTCTTACAGTTGAATTCACCCCCTCCATCATTCTCCTTAACCCTCTCCTCCCCCCATTCCTGGAAAAGAAGTTTCAACAGATCTCATTTTCCATTTGCATACACAGTATTTGTATAAAGAATTTGCAGTATAGTCACCCTCTTTCACCCTTTTCCCACCTCCTCTCCCCTCCCACTGGTACCAATTCCCCCAGATAGCATTTCCTTTATGGCTAAGGATGTTGAACATTCATTTGTATATTTATTAGCCATTTGTACTTCTTTTAAAAACTGTTCAATACATTTTGCCCATTTATTGATTGTATTATTTATTCTTTTTTGTTTAATTTTGTATCTTTATTATATATTCTGGATATTAATCCTTTTTTCTGAAGAATAACTGGAAAAGATTTTATCCAGTTCTCTAGGGCTTTTTCTTATTCTGATCATTGTTTCCTTTGCTGTGCAAAAGCTTTTTACCTTGATCAAATCCCATTTTTCAATTCTCATTCTTATTTTCTGAGTAGTTGGAGTTCTGTACAGAAAATAGTTCCCTATGCCTTTATCGTCAGGTTTTTTTCCTGTACTACTTTCAAAGTTTCTGTTCTTCAATTAAAATCTTTGATCCATTTTAATTAGTTTTTGTATAGGGTGAGAGAGAGGGATCTAGTTTCAGTCCTCTACAGGTGTATATCCAGTTTTCTCAGCACCATTTGTTAATAAGGCTGTCTTTTCAATGAATGTTTTTGGCACTTTTGTCAAAAATCAAAGTAGTCTCTGATGATTTCCTGGACTTCCATGGTGTTTGTTGTTATCTCCCCTTTTGCATTCCTAATTCTACTAATTTGGGTTTTTTCTCTCCTCATTTTAGTCAGGTTTGCCAGGGGTCTATCGATCTTGTTTATTTTTTCAAAGAACCAACTTTTTGTTTCATTAATTCTTTGTATGGTTTTTTTGGTTTCTATTTTGTTGATTTCAGCTCTTATTTTTATTATTTCTCTCCTTCTATTTGTTTTGGGATTTGCTTGTTCTTGTTTTTCTAGGAGTTTGAGATGTATCATTAGGTCATTGATTTGGGATCTTTCAATCTTTTACTCCAGAGGCACCTGCACATCCATGTTTATTGCGGCACTATTCACAATAGCCAAGTTATGGAAACAGCCAAGATGCCCCAGCACAGACGAATGGATTAAGAAAATGTGGTATCTGTACACAATGGAATTCTATGCAGCCATGAAGAAGAACAAAATGTTATCATTCGCTGGTAAATGGATGGAACTGGAGAACATCATTCTGAGTGAGGTTAGCCTGGCCCAAAAGACCAAAAATCATATGTTCTCCCTCATATGTGGACATTAGATCAAGGGCAAACACAACAAGGGGATTGGACTATGAGCACATGATAAAAGCGAGAGCACACAAGGGAGGGGTGAGGATAGGTAAGACACCTAAAAAACTAGCTAGCATTTGTTGCCCTTAATGCAGAGAAACTAAAGCAGATACCTTAAAGCAACTGAGGCCAATAGGAAAAGGGGACCAGGAACTAGAGAAAAGGTTAGATCAAAAAGAATTAACCTAGAAGGTAACACCCATGCACAGGAAATCAATGAGAGTCAATGCCCTGTATAGCTATCCTTATCTCAACCAGCAAAACCCCTTGTTCCTTCCTATTATTGCTTATACTCTCTCTACAACAAAATTAGAGATAAGGGCAAAATAGTTTCTGCTGGGTATTGAGGGGGGGGAGCGGGAGGGGGTGGAGTGGGTGGTAAGGGAGGGGGTGGGGGCAGGGGGGAGAAATGAACCAAGCCTTGTATGCACATATGAATAATAAAAGAAAAATGAAAAAAAAAAAACCTAGACATCGATCTACCATTTGATCCAGTAATACCACTCTTGGGGATATACCAAAAAAAAAAAAAATCAAATGGCTGGCTGTAAATGTTTGGGCTTATTTCTGAGTCTTCTATTCTAGTCCATTGATCTATAGGTCTGGTTTGTTGCCAGTACCATGCTGTTTTGTTACTATGTCTCTGTAGTATAATTTGAAGTCAGATGTTGTGATACCTACCAAATTGCTCTTTTTGTTCAAGATTTGTTTTGGCTATTTGGGGTTTTTTGGGCTTTCAAATGAATTTTAGAATTAATTTTCCTATTTTTGTGGAAAAAATAACAGTGGAGTTTAAAATGGGGATTGTATTGAATTTGTAGGTTGCTTTTGGTAGTATAGCCATTTTTATAATATTAATTCTGCCATTCCATGAACATGGGAATTCTTTCCGTCTTCTAGTGTGTTCTTCCATTCCTTTCTTCAGTGGTTTTAGTTTTCTTTGTAGAGGTCTTTCACCTCCTTAGAATTAGGTTTATTCCTAGGTATTTAATTTTTTAGGTTATTGTGAATGGGATTGTTTTCCTCATTTCTTTTTCAGTCTGTTCAGTGTTGGTATTTAGAAAAGGTACTGATTTTTAGCTGCTAATTTTATATCCTGCTATTTTGCTGAAGATATTTATCAGATCTAAGAGTTGTTTTGTAGAATTTTTTGGGTATTTTAAGTATGGGATCATACCATCTATAAATAGGGTAATTTGACTTCTTCCTTTCCTATTTGAGTCACTTTTATTTTCTTCTCTTGCCTTATTGCTCTGCCTCAGAAGTCTACCACAATATTGAGTACGTGTAGATAGAGTGGACACCCTTGTCTTATTTCTGACTTTACCAGATGTGGTTTTAGCTTTTCCCCATTTAAGACAGTGTTAACTCTAGGTTTATCATAGATAGACTACTATATTGAGGTATGTCCCCTTCTATTCCTAGTTTCTTCAAGGCTTTTATCATAAAAGGATATTGAATTTTATCAAAGGCTTTTCTGCTTTTTTTGAGATAATCATGTCATTTTTATATTTTCTTACTCCATCTTGCATTTGGGGATGTGTCTATTTGTCTCTTGTTTCCTTTCTATGTGGCCTTTTTTTCTCTGTGATTGACTTCTCTTTTGCTCCTTTCTTTTGGATCTATATGTAATTCATACAAATTTTCCATTCACTGCTTTAGAAATTAGCATACTACTTCTTTAGTCCTACCTTTGACATTTTAACATGCATAGTTAAGTTTATGTCAAAATTAATGAGAAATGCTTTCGTTCCAAACAATATAAAGGTTTAAATATATATATATAAATATATATATAATTTCATTTTCCCCATTCTGTTGTAATGTTTTCATTGTCTGTGTATCATAGTCTCCTCTTTTATTTCTGAAATAGACATTATGAGGCTCCTGTATAGCCAGTATTTTTCTGGATATACCTATGTTTACCATTCTCTATGTTCACCAAGGCTTTCATTATGTCAGACCTAATTTTGGTTCTTGAGATTTCAGTATTCACAGATTCTGTATTTGCTAGTTTGCATGGATGGTAAAATTTGTAATCTGAAAATCAATATACATGGTGCTTTCATGTTTATTCTTTGACGTGCCCAGAGTAGTGAAAACTTTTACTCACCTGGCATGTACATTCCCACCTAAGGTCAGAAAAGGCAGTGAAAGCTCTGCCTGCTTATTTCAGCTCTTTTGCTATAAACAGGTGTCTTTTGTTGTCTAGTTAGTGCCATACTTTTGTATGTGTGTGCTTAAGATTTGTGATCTAACAATTTTAAATGATCCTCAACTACACTGATAAAGTGCTAATTAGTATTTCTAAGTACAAGAAGGCTGTGATATGCCTTATGGAAAAATCCATGTGTTAGATATGCTTCTTTGGGGGCATGGCATAGATTATACTGATGTTTGCTGTAAATTCAATGTTAATGAATTGACAGTATATATTAAATGTTATTAACAGAAACGTTATGTATTGATCAATTGATGCAAATGTAACCACAAGTTCATAGGAACCTGCTCCTATGTTCTCTCTAGAAGCAGTGCTTCAGTATTTGCTAATTTGGTGTTTCTGGCAACTTAATAGAATATCACTATTTTTAATAACATGTATTGATTGTGTATCCTTTGGAACTTCAGTATTTTGTTTGAAAATTCTGCTCAGCATAATTTTAGATCTTTAGTAAGTTATCTAATCTTCCACTGTGGTTTTTTTAAGAATTATTTTAGCCTTTGAAATTTGGCGGTTTACTATGATGTATCTAGATGTGGATTTATTTTTATTTGTACTCCCTGTGATTTTTGCTGCTTAAATCTGTTTTATTCCTCTCATTAATTATAGACGTCTCAAGTATTATCTCCTTGAGGGCAGTATTTCACAATTCTCTTCATTGTGTTTTTCTAGTATTCCAGATATTATTTTTATTTTGTTTCCTTTATCTGTTATTATTCTATTTTCTTTCTCTCATATTAACTTTATTTTTACTCTCATCTTAATTCAGCCCTGTATTGCAGTTTGTTAGTTTTCTTCTCAGATTTGTGTAATATTCTGTTTTAGCTATTCATCTAAATCTATGGGAATTCCAAAATTCCTGGCTTAGAAGATGTTTTTGGGACTGTATTAAATTGTTACAAGTTGGAGTTTCCCAGGTCATTCCAGTAATAGACATTTGAACTCCAAATCCATTTGAAGACATGGCTGTGGTTATAAATTCTCAAAAGAGCCTTTGCTCCACTCCCAGCTGCCAGCCAACGTTCATAAGACACTTAATCTTGTCATCTTCTCTTCCTTTGTCACCTGATGGGACACTTGTTTTCTGCCTACTCTGATACTAGTACTGTAGCCTTAAAGGGTTCTAGCTTTATTTAGAATGTTCTGTTCCAACACCCTACCATAGGGGGTTTCCTGGCTTCAGTATTTGATTACTACTAATAATTGCTCTTCCTCTATGGTTCTATCCCCTTGAATTTCCCTTGCATTTTTACACGCTAAGCTTTGCATTTAATATGACTTTTTGTTATAGTTTATCCAGTAGTTCAAGGTATATTTCTAAATCTTTAGGCTTTTATTTTTCAAAGAGACACCCCATCCTTTTAGAATGAAGGAGGAAAACCATTCTAGCATTAAATGGACTTTTGTAATAGATCTCCTATTACAAAATAGGCTCCTATTTTTGGCCAATATTTTTTACCATGAGCAGTCTTTACTATTAAATAAGAATTGGCTATAATAGATGTTCGTTAGTCAGTCCTCATCATTTACAGTTTACAGTAAATTTCATCTAAAACAATTGGCTTCATAGTTCAGCTTTTAATTACAATGACTTTTCTTATAAAGGCAATGATTCTGTTTGGGAGATGGTAATTGGAGTTTTAGACCCCAGAACCAAGCTCCCAGGATTCCACATGTCAACTCTGGCCACTTGCCCCTATATGCCAAATAAAGAGACATGGTGAAGGCCAGAGAAAGTAGGTTTATTATATGGCATAGGCATGTTGCAGAAAGAAGACGGCATTTTAGTTCATCATCAACCATCTTTAGTATAACAGACAGGAGCTATGGTTTTACATAGAAAAAGAACTGGATGGTGGGCAGCAGGAAAGAGGTATCATTATGAAACAGTATTGGTCACTAGTATGCTTCAGTGGATCATTATCCCTCTCCTTATTTCGGGAGCGATTTCTGAGAAGTTGTTATAGCTGTCATCACTGGTCAGGATAAATAAGTCATGTTGCCTAGTACGTGATATACCCTGTGGGTCTCTGGTGTTTCTTAGAGGTAGTTTTTCTCCCTTGTCATAAAAATGTCATTGATCAGTCCTGTCCTTTCTGGAACCTAAGGTGACTATAAAGTGAATAGCTTATAACAAAAACATACAAAATTATGGCTGGGATGCCAAGCTTTTCTCCTGCCTTCAGTTAATTTGTGCAGCCAGGTAAGGAGTCCATATTTTTCAGCAAAAGCAACTTTTAAGCACCGGTTACAAAATGATTTAAGAAATGAAAACAATAATTTATTTTTCATCTTAAACAATGATTATAATTTTCAGCAGAGTTTGATTTCCCCTCCTGTACCCTAGGTGACATTTGGAAGTATCTGAAGATGTTTTTGATTATTACAACTGGAAATGGGGGATGCTAGTGAAATCTAATGGATAAAGACAAGTAATGCTGCTGAATTTTCTAGAATTCACAGAAAGGTCCCCACAATAAAAAATTATCTGGCCCAAGCTATCAGTAGTACTAAAATTGAGAAACCAACAATTGCCCAGAAATTAATATATGTGCCTTTATTTTCTTAACAATTCTAGATATATCTCAAATTTATATCCTGAATTCTCCTCAGGATAGCAAATTCACTGCTCTCATCTATAAAGTTCTGCATTAGAATCATGAAGCCATTGAGAGATGAACAATATAATTTACCTTATGATTTAGCATTGTTAAATAAAACAAATCATTCGTTCCTGATTCCTTTTTATCTTAATAAGTATATACATATATATATATATATATATGTATAAAATGAAACCAAAAGTCAGTCCTTTGAACTACATAATATCATCTTTCAAAAAATTGAACCCTCCATCTGGTCACTTATTACATAAAACAGTTTATTAAATAATTCATGTCTTTGTTATCAATGTGTATATACTTTATATTTATTTTTTGTGTCATGAAAATGAAGAATTCATGTTATTCATTGAAGTTTCATTAAATTTTTCTCTTTTTTAATAACTTTTCTATTTTTAATTAAAAATTTAATCTTAAAATAATTTTGTATTTGAAGAAATGTTGTAAAAGTAGTACAGATTTTATATGCCCTTTGTCAAGCTTTCCTTAATGATGTCTTATGTAGCCATAGTATAATTAATTAAAAAGGAAATTATTACCACTACAATATTATTCATCAGTATTTCCACTAATATACTTACTTTGTTCCAGGATCCAGTCCAATATTCCACATTTCATTTATTCACCCTGTCTATGTAGTCTTCTCCAACTTGTGACAATTACTCAGTCTTCCCTTGCTCTTCATGAATTTGACACCTTTGAACAGTACTCAAATATCTCTTAGTTCAGGACTGTCTGTTTTATATTGAACAAATTGAGGTTATGTTTTTTATCAACAATACCATAAAAATGATGTTGTATGTATCCTTCTCGGGTCTTCATTTCAGAAGGTAGATGATACTGAAAATGCCTTATACTGATGATGTTAACCTTGGTTAAAGTGGTAATTCTCAGGATTCTTCACTTTGTTATTTTTGCCTTTATAATTAATAGTGTATCTTAATTTGATTTCAAATGAAAACAAATGTAGAGCAGATACAAATTGTTCTGTTTCCTCAAAACATATTGTAATTAGTTGGTTTAAACTGCATAAACTTATCTGACAATTTTTATATTTTTAACATCATATTTGCAGGTAGTTATGTTGGGAAAAAGAGTTTTTGAATAGCCTTGACCTGTATTTTCAGAACACTTATTTAACGAAGTTTGCTGCAAAAGAACTTAATAAGAATGCCAAGAAATGTGATAAAGAAGAAACGACTGAAAAGGCCAACATTAAGAAGGTAGACACGTTTAATCTTTACTTTTTTTATTCATGAAATGAGTACAATTAATTATGAAGCATGGTGAACATGTGTTTTACATTGAAGAAAATGAATACTTGTAGCATTCTTAACAAACTACCCATTTAAATAATTATCCTAAATAGTTAATGATGGCTTTATCATTGAGTTTAATAGTTTGCTGCTATTTATATGTGCAAGAATGGTCCACAAAACAGAGTGTAAATGTTCTATGTTACCTACATCTAAGGACCATCTTTACTTTATAGTTAAGTACACTTTCTGAGAAGTATAAAGCCCTTATATAAAAGAGATACTTCCATTTTGAGCTGATTTTAATTTCTATGCTTTCTAAAGTTTTATATCTAAACATTGCACAGCATTAATGTTATTGTAGTTTGTATCTTTACTAGGAGTAATCATAGGACTCAGTAAGTAGTTGTATTCAGGGCTATATTTTATTACAGTAAAAGAGTACAATGCAAAATCAAAGGAAAAAAGCTACACTGGGCAAAGCCTGGGAAATTCAAGTTCAAGCTTCCAAGAGTCCTCTTCTAGTGGAGTCACATAGATGAGCTTAATTCCTCCAACTTATTATGACAGCACATGTGAAATTCTCTACCACAAAAGTTTCCCTGGACCCAGAGGTCTGGAGTTTTTATTGGTAATCATATTGGCACGTTTTATGTAGAATGTGCCAAAATTCCAGATCCTGGGAAGGAAATCAGTTATTTGACACAAACCACTACTGTACAAACAGTTTAGGCATAGGTGAACGACTCTTTTTTTTGTTGAAAATGATTTTTTGTTCGTAAATTTGTTATATTTTTTCCCTTTTTTTTGAATTGTGCTGTGTGGGGGTACATTGTGGCATTTACAAAAGTTCTTACAGTATATCAAATATATCCTACTTGAATTCACCCCCTCCATCATTCTCCTTTACCTCCCCTACCCCTATTCCTGGAATAGTTTGAACAGGTCTCATTTTGCCATTTACATGCATGTGTATTTGCACTATATTAACCCTCCTTCACCCTTTCCCCACATCTTCCCCCTCCCACTCTTAACAGTTCTTAGAAAATAAGGACATTGTCTTTTACAATCTTGGAGTAGGGGCTGTAAAATATAAAACCCAAAAAGGAAGATTGATGAATTCTTTATATGTAAATAAAATCCATCAAAATAGTCAAAAGGAAAAAATAACCTGGGTAAGAATATTTGTAGCAGTGTAACAGCTTATCTACTGTAATAAAGTGTACTTAAATAGATAAATAGATATGATTGATAGGAAAAATGTAAGAATTTATTATAAATCAGATGAAGCATATAAAGTTCACAGAAAGGTCTTTTATTATTTATTATTTATTTAGACAGGGTATTACTATGTACTCCCCTCTGGCCTCAAATCAGGATCCTCCTGCCTCAACTTCCCAAGTACTAGTATTGTAGACATGTGCCACCATGCCCAGCTCAGAAAGGGTCAGCCTCAATTTTTATAAGCATTACTTTTAAAATGTAAATTAAAGTAAGTTATTTACCTCTATCAGAGGTAAGCAAAAGTTCTCTCCTGGGGATAAAAGTAACTATACCCCCATTTTATATAGAAGGTCTCACCCTAGGAGAGGAGTAGAGGTTTCTGGGACAATTAACAAGGAGTGACAGAAGTGGAAATCTACCCAGGAGCAGGCTAGAGGCTGAGTGAAATAATGTTCTAGGGGCTGGCCTGACATGCCCCGAACAGTAACTTTCTTGGAAGACCTGGGTCTGGGAGAGAAAGGAATAGCTGAAATGCTGGCTCCCGTATTGATAAGGAGGTTGACCTTGTGCTTTTCAGTAGTAGGTATTGCCTAGGGCTTCTCTGCTTTTATGGTGATTACAGGATCCTGGATGGGAAGCCCAGGGACCCATCATTGAGTGGGAGGCCCTGGGAACCATGGGCAGTGTGCCTTTCATTGATTTTCCTGGCAAATGGGGCAGGGTCCCAGAGGTGGCATCCTTCTGGGGCACTCCTTCCTAAAATGGCCTGCCTGTCTACATTGAAATCATGTCCTCAGGTTTGGGCTCTGCCTCAAGGGAACTGCTGTGAGCACTGCGATCAGAGCCTCCTGCCATTTATCCTTTTCCTCCAGTCCTTATTTTCTTTTTCTAAGTCCCGGTTATAGTATATGGATATGGCAACATAGACTGTTTGGTCTAGATCTCTGTTCCCTTCAGTCACCAGTTTCTGAAGCTTTCTATGGATATCTGGGGCTGACTGTGTTAGAAATTTATCTTTTAGGACAATCTCCTCCTCCTGTGACTCCAGTACAATGTTGCTGTGCTTTTGTAAAGCATCCTTAAATCTGTAGGAAAGCTACTGGGGCTTTTAAGGGTCCTTGCTGTACAGCCGTAACTTGGGAGTAATTAAGGGGTTTTATCTTGCTCTACTTAGACCGTCAAGAATGCAGTGGATGAAGTGGTTATGGGTCCTTTTGTCCTTGTCACTTTTAGTGTCCCACTTAGGATCATATCTAATCACTGCCTGATCTCCTGTGGGAATTGGGAATAGGGATTCCCTCTTAGGTATCCAGTGTCTTTCTCTTTCTTCCCCCTCCCCCTCCTCCTCTTCTAAGGGCCCAGTCTGAGATAGGCCTGTAGGGCCACATTTATGTAAGTAATAATGGTTCCCAGCTGCAACTGCCTGATCCTAGTGCTTGCTTTTTCTCCAGGGAAGTGAGGGTCTGGGATAACAATAGCATTACATCCTTCTAGCTCAGTTTAAAGTTTTGTCTGACTTCTCTGAATGCCTGGATGTACTGATCTGGGTTTTCTGTGTAATTTTCTAAGTATTTTTTTAATTTCTTTAAGTTCACTTAATCTAAAAGGTATGTGAGCCCTAAACCCTCCAGGAATTAACTGGAGGGGGTAGAGTCCTGTGGGACAATGTCGGGGTGAGAGATAGGTGGGTAAGAGGGTAGAGGGGGAGCTGATGGAGCATCAACCAATCTTTTCAGGGTGGGATATATCCCTTGTGACTCCCCTGGAGATTTGATTTCTGTCATGGGGGAGGCCCCCCTTTGACATTGTTGGGGGCCCTTGGACATCAGATGGTTTTTTGGGTTGTGGTTCCTCAAGGGAGTTTGGGGACTTTTTGTAAAGGGTCACCATGGTCTGGGTATCTAGTCTGCATTTGCTCTGCCAGTTTGGGTGGTCTCTTAGGAAAAAGAAAAGTTGAATATATGGGACTTCAGTCCACTTTCCCTCCTTTTTTTACAGAACATATCTAATTAAAGAATGGTATTATAATTAATGCTCCCTCCTTCTGGCCATTTTTCCCCATCTCCCAGAGGATATTGTGGCCAGGCCTGGCTGCAGTAAAACTTGAGGTGCTTTCATTGAAGACTTTCTGAATCAAGGTGTTTCCAGTGTTACAGTAAACAGGCAAAGGGGGATCCTTCCAGGATCCTGGAAGCTTGATTCCCCATCTAACATGGGAAGCAAGGGAAAATTGATCATCTTAACAGAGGTTTTCTCCTTTTACCTAGGCATACCCAGGTGAGAAGATCCTCTGTGTGGGAGAGGGCATCCCTCTCTCCTATGCTCTCCAACCACTGCCACCTGTGGCTAAGGTCGTGGGGAAGACATTTAGGTACATCCGGCTGCAGCCACACTGCCAGAGTGACCCTGATCAATTTTTTGCCTGTTTGCCTTGCGACCCAGGTACCTGGTTCTCCTTACCCAGCTGAAGACTTGTAATTTAAAAACAACTCTATCAAAGTAACCAAGAGGGCTTGCATGTCCAGCGAGAGGACCCCTTTGGAGGTGTGGACAGGAACTCTTGATGAGGTAGACTTTTGTCCCCCTATATCCTGTGAGACATATATTTTCTGTGAAAAGAGGGAGCATCTGAATTCATTGTTTGTTTGTTTGTTTGTTGAGACCATTGAGGTTTCTGTCTCCTTAACTCTTCCCCCCCCACACAGACTACAGGAACCTGCTTAACCAGATCAACCAGATGCCTAACAAAAGCAGTTAAGCCCAAGTTAGAGAGTAGTACTTTCTGGTGTACTCAACTGAAATGGGGGCTGCAGAAGAGACATGGGAGCTCTTTAGGACATAGTCAAAGCATTCAGTTTTGAATGGGGGATGTAGTGATCTCTCCTAGACTCAGCTGAAGAAGGATGCCCACTGCTGTTTAGGACCAAGGCAGTACCCTCCAGTTTGGTGCAACCTGTACCCACCTCAGGTGAAGAAGTATCCTTCATAGGTCACCAGATATGATACACAGATGACACGCGGGAATTTTGGGGTGTTGAGGGTACTTGGGTCCACTCTGAGATTGAAAGCAGAGGCGGACTTGAGCAGCAGAGGTCAGAAAGATATTATTTGTAGAGAAGAGAAGAAAAAGGCTGCATGGGGGCATGCTGCGGTACCCGGAAACCGATGGTCCCGTGGGTCAGGTTGGAAATTGGGTTTTCATAGCCTTTTCTTCTTGCCTGAGGGTGGAGATGTCTCTCAGGTGCAAACAGAAGTTTCCTGGGAAGGAGAAGTGTCTCCTTGGCCAATTTTCACCTTTTGGGACCTCCTGCAGTCACCCTTCACTTAGGAGGTAGAGATCAGGAGGATTGCAGTTCGAAGCCATCCTGGGCAAATAAATATTTCTCAAGACCCTATCTCGAAAAACCCATCACAAAAATAGTGCTGGCAGAGTGGCTCAAGTGGTAAAAGTCCCTGCCTAGCAAGCTTGAGGCCCTGAGTTCAAACTCCAGAGGCCACTGGAGGAAAAATAAAGAATAATTTCTGGCCCTGAGTTAAAGCCCCAGTACCACAAAAAGAAAAATTGAGTCTTTTTACAGGAGCTCAGGAGACAGACGTGGATTGGAAATAAAAGATTTGGAAGTACCTACTGAGCGTTGTAACCATGACCATGGGTGGCAATGATCAGGGAGATTAAAGAGTAAGAACCATCCAAGGAGGTTGAAGAAATATACTTGGGAAGGGGAAGGAAGCTGGAGAAAGAACAAACAGCAAAGAAGACTAAGAGGACCGACCAGAGAAGTAGGAAAGAGGAAAACCAGTAGTGAAAGAAGTATATAAGATGTTCAAAGAAAGAATGATTGGCAGGGCAAGATATTCAAGTAATTAGAAGACTAAAAGCTATCTGTTGGTATGACCAGCAGAAAGAAAGTAATGACCTTATCAAGAGCAATTTCAGTGGAGTTCAGGGTAAAGTCCTAGTAATAGTAAGTTGAAAGTGAATGAGAGGAAAGAATACAAAGATAAACATACTTGTACCTTTTATTTCTTCCTCCTGCTCTAGGCTTATTTGTCTACCATTTTATCATCTCTACCTGGGTTTTTAACAGGCATCTCAAACCTAATAGCTTTGAAAACTAGAATGCTTGATTCCTGCTTCCCATGCACACTAAAATATTACTTACTTCTGCCTCTATATTTTCTTTTTTAGTAAATACAAAAACCCTACACCCATTTGTTTCAGCCAGAAGCCTGGAGTTATCATTATTTGCTCACATCTTATGCATAGCATGCCTACCTTTAATATGTATCCTGAACCTGACAAGTTCTCACTACTTCCACTGCTAATACCTAAGTCAAACCACATCATTTTTTTGCTTGCCCTACTGTAATAATGTCTCATCTGGTCTCTGTATGTCTGCCATTGTCATCTATAGCCAGTTCTTTCCTGAGTAGCCAGAGTGGTCATTTTAAACAATAGATTATACTCATGTCATTCTCTATATTAAAGCCCATCAATGGCTTCCCATCACACCTACCACAAAATCTAGAGTCCTTACTATAAGGTTCTATCTGTTCAGACCCTGCCTGTATCTCCAACCTCATCTCTTCATACTCTGACCCTGAATTCCTCTTACACACACTGGATTTTGTACGTTTCATAGAACAGATCTAGCTTAACCTCGTTTTAAAGACTTTGCATTAGCTATGTCCTCTGTCTGGACAAATTTTTCCCCCATATCTTTGGAGGGTTGGTTTCCTTTGGCCATTCAGATTTCAGGTTAAATGTCATTTCCTTCAAGTGACTGTTATGACTACCCAGCCTAAAGATATTCATCCACTTTAATATCCCCACTAGATTGTCCTATTTTATTTTCATTAAGGCATTACTACTGATAGTGTCTGCTTTGCTTATGTATTTGCTTGTTTTCTTCTACCAAGTTAGTACCTTGTCTTGTTTAGTATTCTGTCACTGGTAACTGATACATCATAGGGATTCAGTGTTAACAGATGAGTAGACAGATGAAGGAAGGACCTGCTTACTTTTGCTATTATTATGTTGTAAGCATTTGTCCCATGTCATTAGCTAGCTTCCCAAAACATTTTTATATTAATAAAGTACTATTCTATCATATGGATACATTATAATTTACTTAATCATTCCTCTATTATTGGTTATATAAGTAATAGCTAACTATTTTTGCTATTTTAAAAACCACTGTCATGGACATTCTTATATATGTCCTTTGGTGATCTCTGTGTCCTTAGGATGGATTCCTATAAGAAAAATGGATGGGTCAATGAATATGTTTTAGTGTTTGTTACATCTTGCCAAATTATCTAATTTAAAAGAGACTGAAGAGAATCAACATGACTTGATGATGAATTATTATTTCCTTAACCCATTTATTCTAACACTTGCTTAAGTGACAATTTCATTCTTTCTTCTCTATTTTTAAATTTCAAGATACTCTCTTTTTATTCTTGCATTTACCTGATCTTGCTTTCTATTTCATTGAGGAATCTTTGATTATTACACCTAAGTTCTTCTGCCTGTAAACTGTCCTTTACCTTCTTTTAGAGTAGATAAAGTGACTATGCTTCTAGCAAAAGCCATCTCTAACCCTTGGGTACTTGATCCTGTCCTTCTTACCAAATGTCATTGATATAGCAGTTCTCCCTTACATCACCAATTTTCCTTTGTGTAATGAATAAATCCTGTTTGCTCACAGGTATCCTTAAATTCTTCAAAGCTTTCTCTTGGCTCCATTTCTGCTGCTTGATACTCTGTTGTCTCCTTTTTTCATTTCTTGCAAAACCCCTTGAGAAAGTTAGTTATCTGTATTTATTTATACTTTCTAATTCCTTTTTTCTTGTTCTCTGTTGTGTTCAATCCATTTAAGCTTATATATCTACCTCCCTGGAAACCAAAACCTCTCTATTGCTTGATCCAATGGTCAGTTCTCAATCCTCATTTTACTAGATTCACTAATAGCATCTGTCACAGTTTGTTACTCCTTCTTCCTTCAAACACTTTCTTCTTTTAGCTTCCAGGACTACACCCACCAGTGCTCAGTCTTTAGCCCTGTTTTACTTTGTTGTTGTTAAATTTTCTACCTATATTAATTCGAGAAGTGAGTTCATCTAATCTTTTAGCTTTATATGCTATTTGCATGCTAATTAGTAACCAGTGTTACTCCAGCCTATTTTTCCCCTGAGATACAGACTCCTATATCCAGCTGATTATTGTTTCCATTTGGATGTCCAAGGAAAAAAAAATCAGAACTTCTTATGTCTCATCTTCCAATGCATTTTTCCTTATGTCTGTTAAAGGCATTTTTGTCACTCAGAAAAAAAAAACAGCCTTAGTATAGAGTCAGGTTTAACCCCTCCTTTGTTTCATACCCTATATCTGATCCTTCATCCAATCTTTAACAGACACTCAGAGTCTATTCACTTCTTATCATCCCAAATGCTCCTACCTGGATCTAAGCCATTTTTATCTTATTTCAATTATTGTAGTAAACTTCTAATTAGTCTTCTTCCTCCTGACCTTTGTTCCTTAAATGTAATCTTAACACAGAAAAAACATTTCTAAACTATTTTGTTTATAATTATGTCTTAGTCTCTCATCTCTAAGTAAAAGTCAGAGTCTTAAAATGGCCTAAAAGCCATGTATTACCTGTTACCTGATTTCATTTCCTATTCTTCCCCTCCCCATTTACTCTGCTTCAGATGCATTGGCCCGCCTGTTGTATAACTAAATGATTTGTTTACCCAGGGTCTTCTCACGGGCTGTTATTTAACAGCTTTCAGTGTATTTCCTTATGCCTTCTTCCTACACAGATGCATAGATGCAATGTATTCTAGTATTATTCACTCGCTATCATTCTCTTTTCCTCTCCCTCTTTCCCCTAGTCCTCTCAAGCATGGATATGTATGTATAAATCTAAATATATGCGTGTGTGTGTGTGTGTGTGTGTGTGTGTGTGTGTGTATGTATATTGTCTTTCTGAACCTGGCTTACTTTACTTAACATAATGATCTCCAGTTCCATCCATTTCCCTACGTATGGCATAATTTCATTCTTTATGGCTGAATAATATTCTTTTATATATTTTTATATATATTTCTTAATCTGTTCATCACTCGTAGGACATTTGAGCTATTTCCGTAGCTTGGCTTTTGTGAACAGTGCTGCAATAAACATGGACGTGGATGCTACTCTATTGAATGCTGACTTACATTCCTTCTGATACATGCTCAGGAATGGTATAGAAGGATCATACTGTAGTTCTATTTTTAGTTCAAACCTTCATATTGATTTTCAGAGTGGCTGGTCTAATTTACATTCCCAAGAACAGTGTATAGGGGCTCATTTCCACCCACATCCTCACCAGAATATTCAACCTCACTTTTAGTCAGAGAAATATAAAGAAATAACACTTTTTACCTGTTAGATTTTCATAGAATGTAATCATATACTATGTTGATGAAGTTTATGTGGGAAAAAAACAGAAACTCTATACTGCAGGATAAAAATCGCTACCAGTATCCAGGGGAGGAAAATTAGAATTGTATCTACTTCTGCATCCAGTAATTCTGCATCTAGGAATTTATCTTATGAAAATACTTGGAAGTATATAAAGTTGCATATACTAGTGTATTTATTAAATTTCTGTTTATATTATTGAGGAATTAGAAACAAATATCCATCCATCAGGAATCTTATCCTTTTTCTCAAAATTTAACCTCAAAAGTTTCTATACCACCTTTTCTATATTATTGTATTGGAGGACCTTCTGACCCATTTTTAAGTAATTTTTTTAAATAGAGTTATTTTTCTTTTAACTTTATCCCTAGCCTAGGCTAGTATATGAGGAAAAGCATGGATTTGTACTAGTTAAATCCTTTTCATATATATTTAGTAAATGCATAAAGAAAATGCTTATGTCTATGTAACATTGAGAATCATTTTATGTACTATCAGTAGTCTTTCTACTACACATGAAAACCCTGACTAATAGTGCATCCATATAATGCAGCTTAGAAATTATAATATGGTGTCTACAACCATACCACCCTGAATGGGCCAGATCTCATCTGATCTCAGAAACTAAACAGGCCTGGTTAGTACTTGGATGGGAGGAATGGTAATGTGGTTATATAGTTTGGACTTAAAAAGATAAAAAGATATTTCATTTTAATGTAGGAGAAATAGATTCAAAACCAGTATCTCTATGTATATTCTTTTGTAATAAATTTATTTTTATTGTAATAAATATGTTTACCAAAATACTATACATGAAAATATTAATAGTAGAAATGTCTCAGTGATATGATTATGGGCAATTTTTAACCTTTATGTTTCTTTATAATTTTTAAGTACTAATGAACATGCATTTTGTAACTATGAGATTAAAAATTTAAAGAGCTGTAAATTCAAATTTTTCTAATGGTTTAAGGCAGAATTATTTCCTAAGAACCTAGTTACAAAAGTTCTTGTAGATTATAGGTTAACTTGGAGTTGTTTTCTTTATAAAATGTGTACTTTTTTTGTCTTCAGTAATATTTTCTTTTGCTTTTTGTCTTCAATACTATTTGCTTTTATTCTGTTTAACACAGGCCATTCAGAAAGGCAGTACAGAAGTTGCAAGAATACATGCTGAAAATGCAATCCGTCAGAAAAACCAAGCAATCAATTTCTTGAGAATGAGTACTAAGATTGATGCTGTGGCAGCCAGAGTTCAAACAGCAGTAACAATGGGCAAGGTAAAGACTTAGTATCTTAAAGTATAGGAACACTTGATTTAAGTTTAATGAATGTAGTAAGAGTTGTCAGATAGAAATCCAGATCTATTGCAAGATGTGACAGGGTGCTGATAAAGGCCTTCATGACCAAGAGTAATGTAGTCAGAGTGCTTAGTGAGGAAAATGACTTTGGCAATTGATTTTTAAACTAAGGTGTAATTAGTTTTCTTCTAAAGAAGTAAAGTGTCAAAGAGATAAGGTAAACAATGCCTAAACCAGAATACAGAATCTGTTTTTACTGTTAAGGAAAAGATAGATAAGTTTTCTAAGTTGTTGTATAGATAATGCGTTTAAGAGATGACAAAACTGCTCACATTGCTTATAACATAAAATGCTAAATCTCTTTTATACTCTAATTAGGTAACAAAGTCCATGACAGATGTAGTTAAGTCTATGGATGCAACATTGAAGAGTTTGAACCTTCAAAAGGTATACAAAATAGTAATTATTTGTTGGTCAGATAACATCTTTTCAGTGTAAGTTTTTCTTATGGCCATTTCTTTTTACAGATTTCTGCCTTAATGGACAAATTTGAACAACAGTTTGAAACACTGGATGTTCAAACACAACAAATGGAAGATACAATGAGTAGTACTACAGCCCTAACAACACCACAAGTAAGAAACTCCCTGTAGAGCTATCTTACTTAAACAAAAATTTCTTTTTTTCAAAAATGGAGAACAGGAAAATAAAAGAGGTCCTGTCTGGGGGTTGGTACCAGTGGGAGGGGAGAGGATATAAGGAAAGGGTGTGGGAGGGTGAGTATAGTGGAAATAGTATATACTCCTGTATGAAAATGGAAAAATGAGACATGTTGAAACTATTCCAGGAATGGGGTGAAGAAGGATAAAAAAATACTTTCTCTACTTAGAATAATTACTTGAAATCAACTGGCTCCAAAATATAATGACTTTGTGAATGTAAACCATCATTTTTTTACTAAATAAACATAGTATACCTCACATTACATGTAGGAAGTTACTGTTTTACCCCCAGATTCTGGAGGTGGTGTGAGAGGACTATATTACCTAGCTTGGTTTGGAATTCTGGGAATTGTATTGGATTACATGTCTAGAGTATAGAGCCTGGGTTCCACCTGACTGCTATTGGGTTTTTCATTAAATGTGTTTTAATAGGTACATAAAAACTTTAAAATGTAAAGATTAATGAAGTAACATGATGTTTCAATGCATGTATTGTACAATGTTTAAATCATGTTAATCATATTTATTTCCTCATTTATCATTTACTTATAGTGAACACTTTCAAAATTCTTTTAGCTTTTTGAAATGTACAGAACATTATTATTATCTATAATCACTCTACTATACAATAGTACACTAGAACTTCTTGCCCTTATCTACCTTTGATTTAGTACTCATTGATTAATCTTTTCCTGACTTCTCCCCACCCTCCCTGGCCTCTGATATCCACCATTCCACTATCAACTTCTATGAGATCAACTTTTTTTACATTCCACATTTGAGTGAGATAATATAATACTTGGCTTTCTGTGCCTAGCTTATTTCAGTAACATAAAAATTTCCAGTTGTGCCTATATTGTCACAAGTGACATATTTCATTCTTTTTTATGTCTGAATAGTATTTCTCTATCTATTGATCAGTTGATCAACACCTAGTTGTTTTACTTCCTTGGCTATAGTGCTGCACAGATGTGAGTGCAGTTTCCTTGGCATACTAATTTCATTTACTTGGAATATATACCCCTTAGTGGGATTGCTGAATCATATGGTAGTTCTTTTTAAATGTTTTGAGAAGTCTCCATATTGTTTTCTATAATGGCTATACTAGTTTACATTCCCATCAGTAGTGTGCAAGGGTTCCCATTTCTCCATATCCTCACAAGCACGTGGAATCTTTAGTCTTTTTGATAATGGCTGTTCTTACTGAGATAAAGTGATACCAAATTGTGGTTTTGATTTGCATTTCCTTGATGATTTGTGATGTTGAACATCTTTCATGTATGTATTGGCCATTTACTTGTATATCCTCTTTTGATAATTAAATTTTTTTTTACTTTTGAGTTTTTGGAATTCCACACACATTCTGGATATCAACCTTATGTCAGACAAATTGCTGGCAAGTAATTTTCTCCAATTCTGTAGATTGTCTCTTCATTCACTCTTTTGATCGTTTTCTTTGCTGTGCAGAAGTTTTTTAAATTTGTGTAGTCCCATGTGTCCATTTTTGCTTTTCTGTCCTTTGGGGATCATTTACTAAACAAGAAAAAACCCAGACATTGCCTACACCAATATGCCAATGTCTTGAAGCATTTTCCCTATGTTTTTATCCAGTACTTATATAATGTGGGGTCTTTGATCCATTTTGAATTGATTTTCGTACAGGATGAAAGGTAAGGTTGAGATTTCAATCTTTTGTATGTGGATTTCCATCTTTCCTATAAACATTTATTAAGGAGGCTGTCATTTCTCCAATTAATGTTTTGGGTGTCTTGGTCAAGAATCAGTTGGGTATAGATGTGTGGAGCTTATTTCAAGGATAGCTATTGTATTCCATTGGTCTGCATGTCTTGTTCTTATGCCAGGAGCCTTGACTGTCTAGTATGTCTTTTTTTTCTGATGGAACTGGAGTTTGTTCTCAGGGCTTGGTGCTTGGAAAGCAAGCACTCTACTACTTGAGCCACACCTCCAGTCTATTTTGCTCTGGTAATTTTGAAGATGTGGTCTTACAAACTGTACACCTTGGCTGGCTTTGAACTGTGATCCTCCTGATCTCAGCCTCACAAGTAGCTAGGATTACAGGAGTGAGCACCACTACCCAGTTTCTAGTATGTCTTGCAATCAGATATTATGATGCCTCTAGCTTTGTTCTTTTTACTCAATACTTCTTTAACTTGGGTTCTTCTGTGCTTTCATATGAATTTGAGGATTGTTTTTCTAGTTTTGTGAAGAATGTCATCAGTATTTTAATGGGGATTGGCAAATGTCTTTTCCCCATCATTTCATATCTTTAACTATAAAATTAATTCATGCTCATTGTAACTAAACTTTATAGCGGTGTTAATTATTTTCTGCTTTTTTTCCCCTTCTGACCCCCTACTGGCACTAACTTTTTTCATTGATGCCTCCATAGCATGTGAAATGGTATCTGGCATAGAGTAAGTATTTGCTATTTGTTGACTACCATGAATAAACTTGAATATGTAAAAATGTACACAACCTATAACCTAGGACTTTCCACTTCCAAATTTATGCACCAAGAAGACCCTACATGTGAGTACAAAGATATACATACACATAAGAATGTTTATTGTACCTTGTCTGTATAGGAAGAAATTTGAAGTTTAAATGTCCAAAACTAGAACAGATGTTAAATTGAGTTTATTTCTATATTGCCATGCCCTACAGGAGTTAAACTGAATGAACTAGATCTCTAGATATCAATAAAATTAAATCTTACAGTATTAAAAATAGCAAGTTGTAGAATAATATAGTATAATGCCATTAAAATAAAATTTCAAAACACAAATAATGCTAAATTAAAAACAAGAAGAATGTTTTGATTAATCACATTCTATTTCCAGTGAACTCTTAAACATTAATAAATATCTCAATACGGAGGTAGGCACGGTGGTACATGTCTGTAATCTCAGTACTCTGGAGATGGAGAGCAGAGGATCTTGAGACCAAGGCCAGCTCTGCACTAGATATCATGTTCCAGGCTGGCCTGGGCTACATAATGATACCCTCTCTCAAAAACAAACAAAAATCTCAATGCAAACATCTCTTAGCATCCAGGTGTAACTGGTTTTAGGATCCTCTATGATGGACACCAAAACCTAAGGACCTCCAAGTACCTTATATAAAAGTGTACTGCTACTTACATTTAACATATGCACATCCTCCTGTGTAGTGATTTCTGAATTACTTATAATACCTAATAGAATGTAAATGCTATGTAAATAGTTATTGTACTGCATTGTTTAGGAAATAATGAAAAGGAAAACTGTAATACAGCACAGTTTGTTTTCTGAACGTTGTGATGTGTAGTTTGTTGAATCAATGTTGCAGAACTCATGGGGTATGGAGGACCAACTGTAGTTCTATTTTATTCATTAATAGATACTTTAAAAAGTCATCCATAATATATTTGCATCAACTGATGCAACAAAAGGAGAATTACAATTATTCTATTCTAAAATTTAAATCTTATTGAATGTTTTTGCTTAGATGAAGACTTTATACCTAAAAGATATAGAACATGATTGTAAAAGGGAGACTGTTTGCAAGGGGACCCAGTGGGAGGGGAGAGGGTCTTGGGAGATGGATATGATAGAAATACATTTTATATGTATGAAAATAGTATAATGAAACTCACTAAAAGCTGTTTCAAAAAAGAAAAGTGTGGAGATGAGGGAGGAGAGTTAACTAAGCGCAACAGAAGGGGTGAATTTGGTCAAAGTCCATTATATACATGTATGGAAATATCACAAAACTTCTGTGTACAATTAATTTACTTACACTAATAACTTTTTTGAAGTACATTGGATTATAATGGAACTTTTACAAATTGAGTCACTCCTTTACTCTAAGAGCGACATTCCTTAGATATACAAATTATCTGTTAATCTCACTGCTAGTATATTTCAAATAACTTCATTTTGTAAGTCTTTAGAATTTAACATTCTGCCTAGAAGCGAGGGGGAAGTGGGGGAGAGGGTAGGGACCGAGGGGGGGCCAAGGGGGAGAGGTCGCCCAAACAATGTATGCACATATGAACAAATGTAAAAACAATTAAAAAAAAAGAATTTCATATTACTCAGAAAGTCATATTCTGAAATAATCCAGCGCCCTCTTGTGGTAATAAAAGTGTTTCTAATTTTGTAGGTAAGTTTCAACTTTTTAAAATGTATTTATTAACATAAAATTGCACAAGGTAAGGAGGTTTGATTATTACTTTTCTATATATGCATATAGTATAATTTGATTATATTAATCCCCTCTATTGCTTTTTCTTATCCCTCTTCTTCTCTCCCTCCTTTTCCTTTTCCTCTCACCTCCTAGTAGGACCCCTTTTATTATCAGTGACCTTAGTTGTTTTGTTTTATACTTTGTTTTGATTTTCCCTGACTTCCACAAATGAGAGAAAATATTAAATATTTTCCTTTGTGTGACTGGCTTGTTCCACTTAACATGATGATTTCTAATTCCCCTTTTAAAGCCAAAAACCACTCCAAAATCTCAAATGCTACTAAATATAAATTCTTGTTTTCTTGTTCTAGAGCCAAGTAGATATGCTACTTCAAGAAATGGCAGATGAAGCTGGGTAAGATATTATTCAGGTACCTTTGGATAATCTTCATTTACTGTCTAGAGGTACTAAAATTCTGTAGCATAAGGCTGGTCCTGTGGTTCAGTGGTATAGTGTTTACCTAGCATGTGTGAGGCCCTGAGTTCAGTATCTAGCACCACAAAAAAGAGTTCTGCAATGCAGATAAAAAATATTTGTCTTTATCACAATTGGTCAGAATTAGGTTTTTTGACTCTAGTCAAGGGCTTTTAAATGTTATCCAAATCCTTGCCATGTTCTTAACAATGACTGTATCCACACCGTACTAATATTTTCTTTAAAATTTCTGCAGATAGACTCATTTAGTGTATGCTAATAAGAAATAGGGGAAGATGATTAAGGTAGACAGGATTGTTCAAACATTGGCTCAATGCCCAGTATGCAGGGTATATATCAAATATGTGGGGTTTTTTTCAAAAAGGATCTTGCCAAAAAGGTTATTGAGTATAAGTCCAGTTTGAGTCATGCAAACCAAGCAATATGTACAAAATATCCAACGGACTCAAAAGACAGCAACGCTCCACACGTTAACTTACTTTTATAAAAATAATTGATACCCTTTATAGTACTGTTATTAGAAACATGATGCTTCAGATGGACTGTTTATTTCAAGTCCTTCATGTTTGGTGGGAATGATACAACCTTGATAGCTGTGCTACAGATATCACATTATATCCGTATTCCCTGGCATAATATTTAGGTCAAAATAATATAATAAAGAATAAAGCTATATTTCCTAAAATAAAGTTTAAAAGTGAGTCATGTTAATGTTTTAAACTTTATCTTCAAAAGTAGATTAACAGATTGAAATAAGATACTGTTTTTCCTTCTAGAAAGAGAAGATTGATTCAAGGACACCTAGGAAATAGAGTTGATGAATATTACTGGTGTCTAAGATAATCTGATTAGAATTAACAGTTACGTTTATCAACTCTTCAGATCACAAATGTATCATTAGCACATTGAAGTCCAGATAAATACATTTAAAATAAGTTTTGCAGTGTCTGAGAGAAAGGCTGGAAGTTAGGTTATACATTATTTTGCTTTCTTAGTACCCTGATGTAGCCCAGACTCCAATACAGGGAGGTAGTAAGAAAGGTGACTTTTGTTAAGTATTATAAAAGAAACCAACACAGTGTCAGAAGATTCCTTCTTAGTAATAAGAGACTAAGGACTTGTTTCTGTTTCTCCTAAAGACTAAATGAAACCCATTACTGTGTATGATTAATATGTCAATAGAAAAGACTAAATGAGATGAATGAGCTTGAAAATACAAGGATGTCTTCTAAAATAAATGTGACCATACTGCAGCCTTACCCCCTCAGTGATAAATCAATATTAATAGGCAGCTTTTTGATAATATTTCTCAACCACATCAGTGTTAACATGTTCAGCTGAATAATCTTGTCCTGTGTATTGTAGGATGTTTAGCAGCATCCAGGCCTCTACCCATTAAGCATCCTTTTCCTCAGTTGTAACAGCATGTCTCCAGATATTTCCTGTTGTTCCTTGTAAAGGTGAGGGGTCAAAATTGAGATACAAGTCAGGTGGTTCCTGGAGCAATGAAAATAGATAGACCCACTAATGTAGAAAACAAATAGACCCACTAATGCCCATCCTTAAGGATATTTAAGTATCCAATTGCTGTTTGCCTTTGTATTTCTTACACCAAAATTTTAGTATAGTATATCTTTATCTTTCCAACAAAAATCTGTCAACAGCATCTCATGATTGTTAAGATTATTATATTCCTTATAGTGTTTTCAAACTGGAGTGGCATATACTGGTTTTTAGACAGTGGAAATGATAGCTTATATCCTAGAGGAACAGTAAATGGAGACTGAAATCGTGGACCTGGGAAGCAAACTGACCTACATTCAAAATCATTCTTTTATCACTAGGGCAATCTTAGGCAACCATACCTAACTTTTTTGAACCTCAGTTATGTAGTTGGATTCAAGGATTAATTCCTACTAAGGACAGTCAGGAGCCTAACATTGATATTGAAATTAATTCAAAATATTAGGTATGGATCCTTAGGCTACATTTATTTAGCCTGCTTAATCTTTTTTACACCATATTAATTTTCCTTTGCTATGAATGAGACATAGTGATCTCAAGTAAATATAGTACATCAGATGATCATTATTTTGGTCTTTTGTTAAAAAAAATGGATAATTTCTCAGTCTTTTATTAGTTTTCCTCTATAAAATTACATCATCCACATGGATCACTGTTAGTACTCAACAACAATACTGTAAAATTAGTAGATTTATTTATCCTAAGGCTAATATTCAGAAGATGTTTAAGTTTTTACATATTTAAGAACCTGTTTTATTTTTATTTAAATAAAGGTAAAATATAGGATGCAGTATTCAAATTTGCAATACCTATAATATTGCTTATTAAAAATATTTATATTAACATTCATTTATGCTAACTTTTAAATATAATTTTTAGCCTTGATCTCAATATGGAACTACCACAAGGTCAGACAGGTTCTGTTGGCACAAGTGTTGCTTCTATGGAGCAGGTAAAGGTTGGATTTTGTTTTGATTGGTATCCACTTGATGTCTTTTTAAATAAATAATTTAGGAAATAGATATTTTATATAAACTAAGCACTTATATTTATATATAAGTAAATGTATATTTACATTTTTATTTTATAAAGAGTATTTTCTACTATAATATTACATCATTATAAATTAGCAAAATGTGATTAACCCTTAGCTCTGTAATCATGGGCATTTTCCATTTGCATGCACATTTCATGTACAGATTGATTTTGTTGCTCTTCATAGCTTCTGCTCTATTAAGTTCTGGTTCTTTTTAAAATGTTTTAATAATTAAACCCTTAATGGTTTAGATAAATTTTTGAACAGAATTTTAAATCTTATTCAAAATGTGGGGTATTTCTATTTCTATTTGTCACAACGTTGATGATTTATAAAATTTGCTTTCTCTAGGATGAACTATCACAGAGTCTTACTTGTCTTCGTGATCAAGTATAACATAAAGAACTGGTGCTTCTGTTTCCTTCACTTGCTTCTGAAACATTCTTTGTGTGTATATATATATAGGTAATTTTCACTCTAGTTACATTAAAAACACTGTATATGCCAGAATGCTTAAAATTATTTGCATCTGTTAATTTTATTTTTCCTTGCCATACTTTCCAATACAGTAAGAAATTCCAGGAGTTTCCACATTAGCAGATCTTATAGTTTGGTATATTATGTGTAAAAGTGTGCGGGACATATTTTTGTAGGTGTATTTGACAAAACTAGCATTAGTTTCATGTATATTAAACAACTTCCTCAAATGTTAGATTAAAAAATGCAGTGCTAAAGTACTACTGAGTAAAATACTTTTTACAGAATAAAGTTTTTTCTAATTTAAAGTAGTTTTCAATTTCTATCTGTGGTAACATGTGATTTATAAAAATAAAAACAGGGAAGCATGCTTAACATGTTTATATAGCTCAAACCATGTTGTTTAGTGTCATGCAATGGACAGTGCCATTTTATGTGTTTTAAGTTTGATTTTATTATCTAAGCAGAAATAAAATTAACCATTAATCTATGTTAATCAACTCTTAAATTTAAGTCATTAAGATTTTCACCCAGTGATTTATTGATTACTACCTGAATTTCTTAAATCTTAAAAATGTTTCCAATACAAGTAGAAAAATTCTGTAACATTAAATCAAAGAACTTAAGGTTTATGTTTCAAAATTTCCCTTTGCTAAATATCATTGTTAAAACTCTCAGAAAATCTATCTGTACATACTTTCAAAACACATTTTAATGATTCTATTTATATTCAATTCTTCTGCTGTACTTGTTAAGGATGTTGACTAGTGTGATATTAATATCATTTACATTTTTCCCTATCATTGTTGATTGCCTTCCCAGAATCTTGGCATGTGTTTTTAACCTTAAATCAATGAAATAAGAAAAAAGGAAAACAAAATTAACCAACTCAGTTTATAACTATTATAAGTCCTGGCTAAATGTGTTCATTCTTTTCTTTTAAAACAATAACTGTTTAATAGTTGGAACAAATGAAATGGAAATAAAGAAGTTAAAATGCTTTCCTCAGTCAGGCAAATGACTTCCAACTCAATGGAATTTGAGAGTACAACATGGAGGGTAGGCACCAAAGTCATAAGGTTGTAAAGAATAGACTCTGGTACACCAAGATCCTTGGGGAAAAGCATTTGATGATCAGCTGTACTACTTGCCACCAGGAATACCTGTATTTTACCCAACTAAAATGAACAAATTAGCTTGTGCCTACAAATTTCTGATATAGTAGTGTCAAATGTGAACAAGTGACCAAGTTACATTTTAGCAAATATACTACTAATGCAGGTTAGACAGGTTAGATGTTTTTCCTTATTTAACTGCAAAACTGATCCTTGAAAGAACTCCAGTATTTCATGAAGCTTTATTGGAATACAGATCTGTTTAGAAAATCACTCCATTTTAATTCATGAAAGTATTCAAAGTGCAATTACAAAGACACTTTTTGCCTAATTACAGTAGACCCTTGGTATCTGTGGGTATATGGTTCCAAGGAGACCACTATTTAGGAAAAACCTTGAATGCTCAGGATTCATAGAGTTCAGTACAGTACTGCAGATGCTTGATTCATTTTTCCATTAATAACACCCAATTTCCACTAAAGATATGTAAACTTCCATTAAATCTAAAATGTTCACATTATCACTTATATACATGCTGTTTTTGGATTGGGAGGATTACTATAACTTTTACCTTGCTTTTAGGTTACCATTTGTTTTTTGGAGGCATATTTCCAGAAAATTAAGTGCAGGGGAACTCAGCAGATAACACAACTATTTAGCCAAGAATGATGATAACGCAAGAGTGACTGAGAGTTGCTCCACATCAGCTGAACTGTGTATAATGCATGTAGAAATTTAAATTTTTTGTTTTTGAAATTTCTTTTGATTTGTCTTTATTTATTATTTTGTGTATATACTTGGTCAAAACTGCACATAATAAATTCACAAATAAGGCAGGCTTACTGTATTCATTCATCATATATGAAATTTCTCTACCATATATGAGAGTGTGGATGGATGAAGACCATATTTACTGTTAAGTGAAGAAATTACTCTTTTGCTAATTTTGGATTAGTCCTATTTAAATTTCTTTCTACTTGAGTATAAGATTAAGACCTTAATGTCAGATTTTTCCATTTTGTTTATAATTGATGTTTTGTGCTTTCTACTTAAAGGGTAAGTTTGTTTGGAACATCCTAGAGGTACTATAGAAGAGATCACTGGAGATAAAATTATCTATGAAATACAGACATTTATGTTTCCATTGGTGGAAATTATGTAGCATATGTTCTTCTAACTTGAATAAAAATTGATAAATTGTGAATACCACTTATTTAAATCTTGAAATGCACATGATTCTGGTCTGGAATCACAATAGTCATATTAGATTTGCCTTTCAAAAACATTGATAGACACAAAATGTTACTTTTTTGGTTCATCTATGAAATATAAAATTCCTTTCTTAGAATTTATTCTTAAACCAATAACCCCATAGCATCTGAACTCTTGCATATTTAATATACTTATATTTCTAATTTAATAATTGTTTCAACAATTGAAAAATAAAACATTCAAGACTATACTATCATGAAAAAAATAACACTTTCATGTTCTTTCCATTTTAGTTCCCTATAAATTTCATGTATGTTTTCCCTATTTTGACAGTTTAGTTGAACACATAAGCTCAAATGCTAAAAAACATTTTGCTGGACCTTCATTGGTTGGACAATGTGGTTGACAATAATTATCCCTCTGCTCATATGTCTGGATGCCTAAAAGCTTCTTGTGAATCACTTTAAGTAAACATGGGCTGGATTATTTTACATGGTTAATTTATTACTAATCATTGCTACAGAGAGGAAACAGGAATGTGAGACAGGACAGGTAAATTATGGTAAGCGATGAGTGTTTTATAGTTTATAAAGTTGTAAGGAAAGAGTATTCCAACTATCTGAAGAGAAGGTAAGGGGTAGTAACTTGCAATGGACAAAGTAAAGACAATGATTGATAGGCTGCCAATAGTAAACTCAACCCAGTTTTCTATGGATTCAGTGAGGCTACTTGATAACTTCAAGACAATGTCTAAAATGTCTCTTGTGTAGACTGTAGAGGAAAAAGCCCATATCAGATATACAGTGATTCATGTGTACTCTAGCCCTATGTATAATATTGATTTCTAATTTGGATAGTCTGCTCACCCTTTTCTCTACCTTATATTCCCTTTCTACATATCTTTTCCAGGTATTTTGGTTGCATAAATTGAAGTGAGGTGCTGTAATACAGTACATTCCTTCCATTCTTTTCTGGTTTCTACCTCCCCTTAAAGAATTCAAAGTGCAATATTATGTTTATCAGTCTTTGAATCTTTTTTCTCAGAAAACATAGAGAACATATAGTTTCACCCAATCTCACATCTTATAGAAGAGGAGACTGAACACCAGAGAGATTCAGATCCCTCACATTTGTTGAGTATCTATTGTGTGTTAGGAACTTTTCAGGGTACTTTGTGATATATTATGATTTATTTAATCCTCAAAAGAATCCTTAGCATATGGATTATTGTTATGAAAGGGAAACAGACTGATAATTTAAATAGACTGCCTAGATTCGTTTAACTACTAAAGAGCGACCTGGGATTTGATAACAGATTATGTCTCACCTCAAATCTAGTACTCACATCACTATGCTGTACCTGATTATTTTCCTCATCCATAATGCTAATCCAAGTACATCGTGTGCTGATTTTTATTGTTGAGACAGTGAAAACTAATAAAGTCTTGACAGAAAAGGTAGTTCATCCAACAAACAGATGTTTAGCAGAGTGTTTCTAGCCAAGGATTGTTCTTTTTTCCTCAGTTTGAGCTGTCAGAAAAACATGACCTCCTCCAACTTAGAAATCTCAGTTGTTTTCCAAAAATTAGCAAATGAATGAATTTGTTGCAAAATTTATTGTATTTATATTTAAGCTTCTCATTTTCCACACCAGAAAACACTCCAGAGCAAGAATATATATTGGTAAAATGATTCAGCTGAATTTGCAAAAATGAAATCTATCTCACCTATTGATACTGTTTTACATAAATGTATTGCTTCCTTACTGTAGTATCAGTTACAAAGTTCTCAAAAGTGTCTTGCTACAAATAAATGAGTAGTGTACCGATAGTATCTAATAAATAGTATATGTATTAACCAAAAACACACAGGTTATTTTATCTGCCAGACACTTCAAAACTTTCCAACCCCAGCAAGAAAAATCCAAATGGAATGTTAAAGGAAAATTTACCCCTGTGAAATAAGCCTTCCTAGAAGTGATCACCTTAGCATATGTCCAGGATGGGCACAAGTCTGCCTGCTTTGGTCCATTTGTCATAACTTCCCCAGCCACATTGGAAAACATCTTCATTCTCACAACTCTGGTGGGAAATAATCAGATCCCAACCATCTTAATGTGTGTTTGAATTTAACCCTTCGGTGAAGGTGCACCACTTCCTTGCTTTTTTTCCAAATTGGAGAAGAGTGTGAAGGAGGGAAAAGAGCAACTCTCATTAAATAGTGTTAGAAATAAAAACCTAAAACTGCCTGTACTCTGACTAAATCCCATTCAGAGCAGCCTCTTGGAAATACCCTAGAGACGCTGATGAGGACTCACTTTAAAATTAATAGGGCATTCAACTTCCTACAAGGATATTTCCTGCTTTAAAATATCTCCCCACTATTAACAGAAGAATCATAAACTCTAAAAGAATCATAAGCTCTACCATTGTAACATCATGGAAGGGGTATTAAAATATCAGTTCTCTTTTAGAGGGGAACCTGAAACTTAAAACTAATAACATGTTAACAATATTTCTTGCTTAAACCAGCAGCATCATTATCACCTAGGAACTTGTTACAAATGTACTTTATTGAGATTGGTCCAGTGGAGCACATTTGTTATCCCAGCACTTGGGAAGCTGAGGCAGGAGGTTCACAAATTTGAGATCAGTCTGGGCTACATAGCAAGAACTTGTCTCAGTATTGTTCCCACTAGAACCTAAAGTATGGGTGAAGAGAGACAATCTGTTAACAAGCCTACGAGTGATTCTGATGCTTACTAAAATTTGAGAAGTAGTGCTTTGGCAAGACTTAGTTTGATACTTTTTATCTAATAACTTCCTAAATCTCAGATTATCATTATACTTAGTACATGCCAGATGTTAACCCCTTACAAGGCTTATCTCATTTAATTTTCAGATAACACCACAATGTTGGGATTAGTATTTTCTCTATTTTTAAGATGAAGACACTGTCTCAAATGTTATTTACCCAATGTTACTTAGCTTGAGTAAGTGGTGAAGCCTATAGTAGATCTTAGGCCTTTTGACTAGATCCATTATTTTCTACAATGGATTAATTAACATCATTTGGGACCTTATAAAAATCCCAAAGTTGAGATATCACCCCAAATGAATTACATCAGAATTTTTGGAGTTTGCGCATTTTTTCAACAAATAGGTGAGAATGAGAATAACTTTTGTTCTGAACCCTGACTAAGCATTAAAATTGTCACATTTGAAAGCTTACAAAACTGAATTTCAGTTATACCAATTGAATCTAATTCTCTAAGGTGAAGCTGTTTAAAGATTCATATATAGCTAGTGAGGACTGTGAACCCTTGCCCTAGAAACTGCTTTGCTATCTTCTTGAGCTTTAGAGAGTAGAGCCTAAGGAATGAGTCTTGCTTGATTGGTACTGGGAACGTGGTAAAGATGGACATGTCCGAAGGCAAAAAAGATAAACTATATTCACAATGTTGCTAAGAGTCTGCCTGTCCAAAGCAGGTTTATGCTTTCCCTCATTTGGAGTGTTCTTCCATCCTTGCATCTTATTCCTGTAGGCAAGAGTTCATTTGTGTTCTTAAAAGAGAAACAGTATATGACGTATTTGTTAGGTGCAAATCTCTAAAACTTAGGCACTTGCTACTTAGATGACCATGGGTAAATCAGTGATTCTCTTTGTGTCTCAGTGTCTTCATCTGTAAAGTGTAAATAATTATATTACCTACCATGAAACTCCTCAAAGAGTCATTATGAGAACAAAGGAGATGATCCATGTAACATGCTTCATACATTGACAGAGTAAATGATCAGTAAGTATTAGTCTCTGAGCCTCAATTTCTTCATCTGTCAACGGAGAATAACATACTCAAGCCTATCGTAGAAGGCTACTGCTAGGATCAAAGCACATTGTATCAGTGGAGAGCATTTTGTAAACTAAACTAGATCATATGCCTAACAGCGATTATGTGTTTTTATTCTCCTGAAGAATTGGAGGCAACCTTAGAATCATGGAATCTTGAAACTAGAAAGGCCTTTAAAAATCAGTACAATACCTTCATTGTTTATAATGATACAAATGAAATTCAGAAGGAAAATAGATGTGCTCAAGGTCACCAGAAAATAGTGACAAAAGGCTTGAGAATAACTGATATTGGATCCTAGGCTTTTGCCATAATCTCACATTCTGTTATCTTTTACTGTCCCTGTTTTCCTTCCTCCCCCACTACTCCCAGTTCTTCATATCCTGAACTGCAAAATAAGGCTGAGCTGCCAAGCACCATTAAATAGCAGAATTGTTTCACTTTAGAGGCCAGAGAGTTAACTTGACCAGTAAAGATTGCCCCTTGCTGGCTGTGTTCAGTACAGATTGTCAGTTGGGAATTTAGGATTCTTTCTGAACTGAGAAGTGAGTGAGGTGGAATATTTCTAATAGTCTTTACTTTTGGCTCTCTCAGCTAGTACATACTGCTCTTGAATCCCTAACACACCGAATGGAAAACATGCATACTCTGAACAGGACTTACCCCCCACTCCCCGCCACCTGATTTATCTTCCAGAAAAACATGATAGCTTTTGTTTCTGATAATATTCGTTATAGTTTTAAAAATTCACTATTTGGAGGTTAGGAGTGGACTGAGAGAAGTATGGTGTATTCAGTCCCAAAGTTAAGGACAACCTCTTGCAAGTTAGGACAAATGAATTTTATACCCATAGTGTTATGTGCAGTCATTTAAATGTTCCGCTTTTGAGAAACAATTTCCTTGATTTTTAAGGTGTGGTGCCTGAAATCCCATCATTATCTTTTTATAGTCACTACCTCATTTTATACGTGACATTAATAATTTAAAAAGAACAAAACCCTCTTCACACCCTAGTACCCTCTCCATTTCCCTTCCTCTTCCTATTGATGCCCCCCCCCCACAACAATCAACCTTTTGCATTCAAGTCCCATTATTATTTTTATCATTTTAGACCTAGATTCCACATATAGAATACTTGGGGTTTTTAGGCTTGGCTTATTTCACTCAATGTGATGATGTCCAGTTCTATCCATTTTCCTCCATATGACATGATTTCATTCTTCTTTATGGCTAAGTAATACTCAATTGTGTGTGTGTGTGTGTGTGTATATATATGGATATAGCATAAAGAAACCCACTAAATATAGTTTTTAAAAGAAAAAGAAGAGAGAGAGGGTTAAGGAAGTGTTTGCATATATGGAATTGTCACATGAAACCCCCTTGTGTTATTAATGAATCCTAAATAATAAAATCCAAATCCACCTACATCACCCCCTTTCCCTCCCTGCCCCACATACTACAATAGCATTAATAAATATGAGAACTCAGCAATCATCAAAATTTCCTTTAACATTCATCATGAGAAACCTTAGTTTGCCCTCCATCAGTATTACACATTAGTTCCAGTCTGTTAGAAAAGACTGAGACAAATGGATATGACTTGGAAGTTGATAAAATCCAGGACATTTAGACTAACTTCTTTCAAGACTTCAATAAGTGGAATCACTTTGAACACCTCCAAAGGCCTGTCCTCTCATCTGCATCATACATAGTTTCCATGATGAAATGTTAATGTCCACTCAGATTTTTATTGATTAGAGAAGCAAGTATTAGGATTTATTATATACTAAGGCCAAAAAAGGTAAATAATTTAATGAGGAAAAAGAGTATAGACTGCTGCTAAAACTCCTGTTTCAAAGTTAAAACACATCCCTTTACAGTCCCTGGATCCTTACTGCATCCTTTTAATTTTTCAGGATTTGAATTCTAAATGACTGGTCTAAACATGTTCGCTTCAGAAGAGCCACTTGGCAGGAATATGACGACTATATGCTCACATGAATTCAATGGTATGCTGAAACTGTCCATAACTGGTAATGAGGGCCTATTGTTTAAATTTTCATTAAATTTGTGGGCTGGTCAATTTAAACGTGCTTGAAATTGGTTGTGATAAGAGCACACACCACAACATATCAGGACTTAATTTGCTTTCAGAAACCAAATTGTTACAATTTTATTTACTTTGACTACTATATGGATCCAAAATGCCATTTGCTTATTGACATATATAAGGAAATACTGTGAAAAGAGCACTTTTTATGTTTGTCTTCCTAACATTGCTTACATGATATTGATCACTTGTTTTAATTTGATTATACTATTGTATGTCAATTTCCATCCCTTTATATTTTAACTTGTTTATATTTGCAGTGAACTTCTTTAGGTAACATGTATGTGGGTCTTGATTTTCTTTGTACACTCTGAGAATCTCTTGCCTTTAATTGGGGCATTTGGACTATTTCTATTTAATGTGATAAATGGTATTTTGGCTTAAATCTACACTCTTACATATTTTCATTAGTCTCATCCCTTAATTGTCCCCTTTTCATTTTTGTCTGCACTCAGTTAGATTTATTAAGCTTTTTTGTTTGTGTTTGTTTTTTTGTGGTAGTGGGGTTTGAACTCAGGGCCTCACCCTTGCTAGGCAGGTGCTCTACTACTTAAGCCACTCCACTAGCCCTGATTTGTGTTGGGTTTTTTCCAGGTAGGGTCTCAGGAACTATTTGCCTGGGCTAGCTTTGAACTACAATCCTCCTGATCTCTTCCTCCAAGTAGCTAGGACTACAGGCATGAGCCGTCAGCAGCCGGCTTATTGAGCATTTTTGTTGTGGCATCTTAACTGTTTTATTGGCTTATTAGCTATAATTTATCAAAGTTACCTTAAAATATATATCACCTCATACATAGTATAAGAACTTCCATTTCCTCCTTTCTCAGCCTTTATAATTTTGTCATACATTTTACATACATGTTCTGTGTAGCACATATTTTAATTATTTTTCTAAAGACACCATTACTTTTAAACAGATTTAAACAAAAAATAAATATGTACATACATACATCATTGCTATTTATTTCTTTGTACAGATCCATAATTCCATCTGGGTATTGTTTTCCTTCTGCCTGAAGTACTTTCTTTAACCTTTTTTGTAGCATAGGTCTGCTGGCAATGTAGTCTTCCATTTTTTTCTGTATCAAAAAAGTCATTATTACATCTTCATTTTTGAAAAATATTTTCACTTAGTATTATGGTATTATAGTTTGACAAGGCTTTTTTGTTTTTTACATTTTGTACTTTAAACATGCTGCTCCACTGTGTTCCTGCTTTTCACTATTCCTGAGAACAATGCTGCCATCTTTTTTGTTCTGTGGCTGATATTAAGATTTTCCGTTTATCACTTATTATTCTAGAAATTTGATTAAGATATGCTTCGGCATAATTTAGTTTTCTTCATGTTTCTTCTAATTGGTGTTCATTGAACATCTTGTACAAACCTATAAATTTATAGTTTACATTAAGGTGAGAAAATTTGGGGCCATTATGTCTTCAGATATTTTGTCTCCCATGTTTGGGTACTGTAACTACAAATATATCAGGTCCCTTAAAATTGTTCCAGAACTTACTGATGCTCTTTATACTCTTAATTTCTTCTGTGTTTCATTTTGAATAGCTTTTATTGCTGTGTCTTCAAGTTCACTAACTTTTTCTTCTAAGATATGTAATTTTATAAATTTTAATCCCAGCCAATGAATTTTAAATCTCAAGCATTTAGTTTTCATTTTTAAAAGTTTGACTTGGGTTCTATTTATATATTTTATGTCTCAGCTTTTTCAACATATGGAATACACTTATAATAACTGGTTTAGCATCCTTTGTCTGCTAATTCTAACATTTTGTCCATTCTGTATCACCTTTGATGGATTGATACTTCTTCCTATACCTTTGCTTGCTTCTTTTCATGACTGCTATTGTTGATAGATACCAAATATGAATTTTGCCTTTCTGGATGCTGCATACTTTTATATTCCTATGAATATTTTTGGCTATAGTTAAGTTTCTCAGAAAGAGTTTAATCATTGCAACTTTTCTTTGTAACATTTGTTCTAGAAGACCAGTGCAGCATTGTCTGGAGTCTAGACTCAAGGCTCATTATTCCTATCATTGAGGCAAACCTCTTCTAAGTACCTTGCTAAATGTTAATTATGAGGTATACTAATCTGAGAGTAACAGGCACTAATTCTAGGCCTATGATAACACTGTTCTGTGTAATACTATCTGATGTTTTTTTCTCCAGTAGTTATCTTTATATGCACTGATGAGTACTCTCTGTATACTCAAGGGGTATCTTCTGCAGTTCCCCAAGATTCTTGTTCTGCATCTCTCTTTCTTTGATATTTTGTTTTGTGACCTTTAGCCAATTTGATCTACTTGAACACTCAGCTACTTTTCTTTAAGACCTAGAGTTTATCATGTCTGAATTCACTCTTCTTATGTGGCCTAGAAACTCTCTTAAGACAGTAACCGGAGCAACTATAGGACTCACAGCATTTGTTTTCCGTTTCCCAGGAACTATTGTCATTTGTTTCCTGATAGCCAACATCTGAAAAACTGATATTTTTAAGCTGGGCACTAGTGGCTGTAATCCTAGCTATTTGGAAGGCTGACATTGGGAGGATCACAGTTCCAGACCAGCCTGGGCAAAAAGTTAGCAAGAACCCATCTCAACAGATAAAAAGCTGGATGTGGTGATGTGTGCCTATCATCCCAGATGATAGGAGTATAAAATAAGAAGAATGTGGTCCATACCAGCCTGGACAGAAAGCGAGATCCTATCTCCACAATAACCAGAGTGAAAAATTCGGGAGAAATGGTTCAAGCAGTGGAGCATCTACCTAGAAAACACACAGTCTTGAGTTCAAACCCTAGTACTACCAGAAAATGATATTTTATGTATTTTCCTGGTTTCCTTGGTCATTTTTCAGAAACAATAGTGAATCTGACCCGATACTTCATTTTGGCCAGAAATGGAAGTTGAGGAAGCCTAATATGAGATGATATTCAAAATAGATGTTTCCATTATTTCCCTTACTGGTCATTCAAGATGTTGTCTTCAGTGTATGTGTGGACTTGTAAGCTATTTAGGATTAGACTAATGCAAGAGACTAAGGATATTGACTATAATTTCTTCCATATTCATAAGGTAAGGCATGGATTAAAAAATGCCACAGTATTATTTTTCTTTCCTAACATCCCTTCTTTCTTTTTATACTAACCCCATATTAATTTCCCTCTGGGAGATACCCTTTTTCACTCTCAGTCTATGTGGTACCAGTAGGCTGACATCATTGGGTAACAAGTAGTATTGTCATATGACCTAGATCTAGCCAATCAAAATCACCACCACCTAAACCATAGATATATGACTAAGTTGGTTTAAGACTTAACTCTAGAATTATCGCTGGAACTTTTGGAAAGACAATTTTTTTCCAATGGACTTATTGCTATTGAAGTGTAGAAATAGAGCTACCAAAACCCCAATATACACACATAAGCATAGAAGACAAAAGAAACGAATTCTTTTTTGACATTTTTTTATTCAACTGCTAACACCAGTTTGAGTTGGGTTTCTACTAATTGCAAATAAAAAGTTCTGATTAAAATAAAAGTGATCATTGTTATCAGGGGTTCATTGTAAAGGAGATCAGTGATTTTACCAATAATTAAAATACAAATTATAAAATGTAGTACTAAGGGCATAAATAGATGATTTCAGAGAAGGGAGAAATTGTAATAAAATGTAGAACTGTATTAGTCAGTTTTGGATCACTGTGACAAAATTTCTGACAAAAACAACTTAAAGGAGGAAAGATTTATTTTGGCTCGTGGCTTCAGAGATTTCAGTCCATGGTATTCTGGCTCCATTGTATTGGACATGAGGTGAAGCAGAATGTCATAGTGATGGGAGCATGTGGCAGAGGAGGTTGCTCACATAATGGTGGCCAGGAAGTTGAAAGAGGCAAAAGATCAGATATAACCCCCAAGAACATGCCCCCAGTGACCTTCCTCTAACTAAGCCCCCTCCAAAATTTCCACCATGAAATTGTGAATTCATAGTGGATCTGTGTGCATTTACATACATGTATATACATATATATGTGTGTGTGTGTGTGTGTATATGTAATTTCACAATGATCTTATGAAACAAAAATATATTTCAATTTTGTACACAGGGAAATTGGAGCACATATGTATTTAGTAATTTGCTCAAAATTAAACAGCAAGTTCTAAGTTGTAAACTGAACTTGTACCCAGCCAATCTGAGCTTCACAGCCCACATACTTAACAACTACACAGCACAAGATACAGAAGCTGAGCATTTGCTAGTCATATGCACCTCTCTAATACGGACACTTTTTGCTACCAGAATATAGTTTCATTTCTCTTCTTTGGCTTACATTCATTCCTAAAGATAGCTCAGAAACTTTACCAATATGTCTAGGCCTTAAAGATCTATGACTATCTGACAGTCTCTGTTCTCCAAATTCCATCCATCCCAATCTTTAGGATAGGATCTAGGCAGTGTTAACCCTTGGATACTTTGGATATTTTAGGAAGCATAGTTAATGCCTAAGTATTCCTCTCACTCATTTTCTTTCTAGACAATTACATTTATAGAATTTCTGAAGCAGTGATAAACAGTCCTCTTTAGCACATCAGTGCAACATGCAAATACATTCAACATCTGCCAGCATTGTTTAGGTTCTTGCCCTACTTAATATCATGACTTAGACTGTCATCTAAAAGTTGGAAAAAATAAGAAATGATTGAAAAGGAATTCGTGTACGTTGGATTTGAAGTGTTCATTCTTTGTTGTTCATCAAAGAAGGAATCCACATTCTCTTGCTTTTTTTATTTGTTGTTAATGTGTTCTGTTCCAGTGCAT